ACTGAAACATGATAGAGGAGAGTCTACTGAAACTGTAAGGGAGTAGACCTACTGTGAAACATTGTCAGAGGGAGAACTACTGAAACATTGATCAGAGGAGTAGGTCTACTGAAACTTGATCAGAGGGAGTAGCCTACTGAAACATGATCAGACGGAGTAGGTCTATGGAAACACTTGATCGAGGGAGTAGGTCTATAAACTGATAGCAGGATTGTTACTGAAACATCTGATCAGGGAAACTACTGAAACATGATCAGAGGGAGTAGCCTACGAACCTTGATCAGAGGAGTAGCTCTGAAACATTGATCAGAGGGAGTAGGCCTACTGAAACATTATCAGAGGGTAGACCTATGAACATTGATCGAGGATAGCTATGAAACATGATCAGGAGTCAGCATCGAAACATTGTCAGAGGGATAGTCTACTGAAGACATTGATCAGAGCTGTGAAGGGTTACTGAAACTTGATCAGAGAGTAGGTCTCTGAACATTGATAGAGGGGTAGGTCACTGAAACATGTCAGAGGGGTCTAGACCACTGAAACATTGACTCAGGAGGGAGTAGGCTACTGAAACATGATCAGAGGGAGTGTAGACCACTGAAACATTGATCGAGGGAAGGGGTCTACTGGGACATTGATCGAGGAGAGACCTACTGAACATTGATAGAGGGAGTAGACTACTGGAAAAGATCTGATCAGAGGGTGTAGGCCTACTGAACTTGCAGAGGGAGTAGGTCTACTGAACTGATCGAGGGAGTAGGTCTACTGAAACTTGATCAGAGGGAGTAGGCCTACGAAACATTGAAGAGGGGTAGGTCAAAATGATAGGGAGTGCACTACTGAACATTGATCAGAGGGAGTAGACCTACTGAACATTGATCAGAGGGAGTGGGCCTACTGAACACATGTCAGAGGGAGTAGTAGTCTACTGAAACATTAAGAGCATTAATAGCTGTATGTTGCAGTGACTTTGTGTTATTTATGGGGAAAATGCTGTTAAAACATTCTGATGTAGATCATGTTGTGTTTCTGTTCCTTCTAATCAAAGCATAGTATGCCTGTAACTCAATAGCACTGCTTGTTAAATGGAAAAATCTTTCTTTAGGGCCAAATTTATGCCTGTAACTCAATAGCACTGCTTGTTAAATGGAAAAATCTTTCTTTAGGGCCAAATTTGAGAGACCTGATGAAGATGCTGTCGACCTTTAGAACATGTCTTCTATATCTGCCGTTTCCATTACACGTCGCATAGATCTTTTTTGCGACATTGCTTTTGTCAAATAAACCTGGGTCAATGGAAACCTGCCTTCAGACTGCCTATTCACTAGCCTGACTGAGCTGTGAAGGGGTCTGTAGACTGATGAGTGGGTCTGTAGACTGATGAGTGGGTCTGTAGACTGAGCTGTGAAGGGGTCTGTAGACTGAGACTTGACTGAGCTGTGAAGGGGTCTGTAGACTGGGCTGTGAAGGGGTCTGTAGACTGAGACTTGACTGAGCTGTGAAGGGGTCTGTAGACTGGGCTGTGAAGGGGTCTGTAGACTGAGACTTGACTGAGCTGTGAAGGGGTCTGTAGACTGGGCTGTGAAGGGGTCTGTAGACTGGGCTGTGAAGGGGTCTGTAGACTGGGCTGTGAAGGGGTCTGTAGACTGATGAGTGGGTCTGTAGACTGAGCTGTGAAGGGGTCTGTAGACTGATGAGTGGGTCTGTAGACTGAGCTGTGAAGGGGTCTGTAGACTGAGCTGTGAAGGGGTCTGTAGACTGAGCTGTGAAGGGGTCTGTAGACTGAGCTGTGAAGGGGTCTGTAGACTGGGCTGTGAAGGGGTCTGTAGACTGGGCTGTGAAGGGGTCTGTAGACTGAGACTTGACTGAGCTGTGAAGGGGTCTGTAGACTGGGCTGTGAAGGGGTCTGTAGACTGGGCTGTGAAGGGGTCTGTAGACTGGGCTGTGAAGGGGTCTGTAGACTGGGCTGTGAAGGGGTCTGTAGACTGGGCTGTGAAGGGGTCTGTAGACTGGGCTGTGAAGGGGTCTGTAGACTGGGCTGTGAAGGGGTCTGTAGACTGAGCTGTGAAGGGGTCTGTAGACTGAGCTGTGAAGGGGTCTGTAGACTGGGCTGTGAAGGGGTCTGTAGACTGGGCTGTGAAGGGGTCTGTAGACTGCACCCTTGAGGCTGATGGAGAGAGGATCCTTGCCTCATTATCTCCTAGTTGCCATGCCAACTGATGGGTAGGCAGTGCCCTGGTGACCCAAACACTTCCGTGTCACACCACACCTGGGACTCTGACCAATCAGTGACCTCTCTCCACTAAAGATAGTATCAGGAAACAATACACAACTTTTGTATTTACATTTTAGTCATTTAGCAGACACTCTTATCCAGAGCGACTTACAGTTAGTGAGTGCATAATTTTTTTTTCATACTGGCCCCCCGTGGGAATCGAACCCACAACCCTGGCGTTGCAAGCGCCATGCTCTACCAACTGAGCTACACGGGGCCGGGTATTTATCCCTTATTTTACCAGGTAAACACATTCTCATTTACAGCAACTCTTACAATACGTGGGATCTTTAGTGACCACAGAGAGGCAGGACACCAGTTTAAAGTCCCATCCAAAAGACAGCACCTAGAATTATTTGCAAATTTATTAAAAATAAAAGCAGAAATACCTTATTTACATAAGTATTCAGACCCTTTGCTATGAGACTCGAAATTGAGCTCAGGTCCATCCTGTTTCCGTTGATCATCCTTGAAATGTTTCTACAACTTGATTGGAGTCCACCAGTGGTAAATTCAATTGATTGGACATGATTTGGAAAGGCACAAACCTGTCTATATAAGGTCCCACAGTTGACAGTGCATGTCAGAGCAAAAACCAAGCCATGAGGTCGAAGGAATTGTCCGTAGAGCTCCGAGACAGATCTGGGGAAGGGTACCAAAACATTTCTGCAGCATTGAAGGTCCCCAAGAACACAGTGGCCTCAATCATTCTTAAATGGAAGAAGTTTGGAACCACCAAAACTCTTCCTAGAACTGGCCGCCCGGCCAAACTGAGCAATCTTGGGAGAAGGGCCTTGGTCAGGGAGGTGACCAAGAACCCGATGGTCACTCTGACAGAGCTCCAGAGTTCCTCTGTGGAGATGGGAGAACCTTCCAGAAGAACAACCATCTCTGCAGCACTCCACCAATCAGGCCTTTATGGTAGTGTGGCCAGACGGAAGCCACTCCTCAGTAAAAGGCACATGACAGCCCGCTTGGAGTTTGCCAAAAGGCACCTAAAGGACTCTCAGACCATGAGAAACAAGATTCTCTGGTCTGATGAAACCAAGATTGAACTCTTTGGCCTGAATGCCAAGCATCACATCTGGAGGAAATCTGGCACCATCCCTACGGTGAAGCATGGTGGTGGCAGCATCATGCTGTAGGGATGCTTTTCAGCGGCAGGGACTGGGAGACTAGTAAGGATCGAGGGAAAGATGAACGGAGCAAAGTACAGAGAGATCCTTGATGAAAACCTGCTCCAGAGCGCTCAGGACCTCAGACTGGGGCGAAGGTTCACCTTCCAACAGGACAACGACCCTAAGCACACAGCCAAGACAACGCAGGAGTGGCTTCGGGACAAGTCTCTGAATGTCCTTGAGTGGCCCAGCCAGAGCCCGGACTTGAACCCAATCTAACATCTCTGGAGAGACCTGAAAATAGCTGTGCAGCGACGCTCCCCTTCAAACCTGACAGAGCTTGAGAGGATCTGCAGAGAAGAATGGGAGAAACTCCCCAAATACAGGTGTGCCAAGCTTACGTCATACCCAAGAAGACTCTAGGCTGTAATCGCTGCCAAAGGTGCTTCAACAAAGTACTGATAATAATAATAATAATATGCCATTTAGCAGACGCTTTTATCCAAAGCGACTTACAGTCATGCGTGCATACATTTTTGTACTGAGTAAAGGGTCTGAATACTTATGTAAATGTGATATTTTTAATACATTTGCAAACATTTCAAAAAATCTGTTTTCACCTTGTCATTATGGGGTATTGTGTGTAGATTGATGAGGGGGGAAAAAAACGATTTAATCCATTTTAGAATAAGGCTGTAACGTAACAAAAGGTGGAAAAAGTCAAGGGGTCTGAATACTTTCTGAATGCACTGTACAGCATACACAAAGGCCTCTACTGTCTGAATGCACTGTACAGCATACACAAAGGCCTCTACTGTCTGAATGCACTGTACAGCATACACAAAGGCCTCTACTGTCTGAATGCACTGTACAGCATACACAAAGGCCTCTACTGTCTCATGTCTAGTTATGTCTGTCTGGCTGTCTGTCTGGCTGTCTGTCTGTCTGGCTGTCTGTCTGGCTGGCTGTCTGTCTGTCTGGCTTTGAGCCTTTACCACAAAGAGGGAATCTTTTACACAATCTACAGTTTAACCACACTGATTCTATAAGGTGCAGTGATATGGGTTGAGTTTGTCTTGACAAATCTAGGAAGTGAGGAAACCAGAAGTAAACGAGGCAGTGTCATCATACCTGCAGCACAAAGCATCCTGTTGACTCTTTCAGTAGTAGTCATGGTAACTATGTTGTGTCATGGTTCACTGGAGGTTCTCTGGGGCGAGTTAGTCACCCCTTCTGGCTTACAACACCCTGGCCTGTTACAGAGACCGTCTACCACACCCTGGCCTGTTACAGAGACTGTCTACCACACCCTGGCCTGTTACAGAGACTGTCTACCACACCCCTGACCTGTTACAGAGACCGTCTACCACACCCTGGCCTGTTACAGAGACTGTCTACCACACCCTGGCCTGTTACAGAGACTGTCTACCACACCCTGACCTGTTACAGAGACTGTCTACCACACCCTGGCCTGTTACAGAGACTGTCTACCACACCCTGACCTGTTACAGAGACCGTCTACCACACCCTGGCCTGTTACAGAGACTGTCTACCACACCCTGGCCTGTTGACAGAGACCGTCTACCACACCCTGGCCTGTTACAGAGACTGTCTACCACACCCTGGCCTGTTACAGAGACTGTCTACCACACCCTGACCTGTTACAGAGACTGTCTACCACACCCTGGCCTGTGACAGAGACTGTCTACCACACCCTGGCCTGTTACAGAGACTGTCTACCACACCCTGACCTGTTACAGAGACTGTCTACCACACCCTGGCCTGTGACAGAGACCGTCTACCACACCCTGGCCTGTTACAGAGACTGTCTACCACACCCTGGCCTGTTACAGAGACTGTCTACCACACCCTGGCCTGTGACAGAGACCGTCCTACCACACCCTGACCTGTTACACGAGACTGTCTACCACACCCTGGCCTGTTACAGAGACCGTCTACCCACAACCCTGGCCTGTTACAGAGACTGTCTACCACACCCTGGCCTGTTACAGAGACTGTCTACCACACCCTGGCCTGTTACAGAGACTGTCTACCACACCCTGGCCTGTTACAGAGACCGTCTACACACCACCCTGGCCTGTGACAGAGACCGTCTACACACGCCCTGAACCTGTTACAGAGACTGTCTAACCACACCCTGGCCTGTGACAGAGACGTCTACCACACCCTGGCCTGTGACCGAGACTGTCTACCACACCTGGCCTGTGACAGAGACCGTCTACCACACCCTGGCCTGTTACAGAGACTGTCTACCACCACCACACCCTGACCTGTTACAGAACTGGTCTACCACACCCTGGCCTGTTACAGAGACTGTCTACCACACCCTGACCTGTTACAGAGACTGTCTACCACACCCTGGCCTGTGACAGAGACTGTCTACCACACCCTGGCCTGTGACAGAGACTGTCTACCACACCCTGGCCTGTGACAGAGACCGTCTACCACACCCTGGCCTGTTACAGAGACTGTCTACCACACCCTGGCCTGTGACAGAGACTGTCTACCACACCCTGGCCTGTGACAGAGACCGTCGTACCACACCCTGGCCTGTACGAGACTGTCCTACCACACCTGGCCTGTGACAGGAGACCGTCTACCAACACCCTGGCCTGTTACGAGACTGTCTACCACACCTGGCCTGTTACAGAGACTGTCTACCACACCCTGCCTGTTACAGGGGAACGGTTCTACCCAACACCTGGCCATGTTACAGAGACTGTCTACCACACCCTGGCCTGTTTACAGAGACTGTCTACCACACACCTGGCCTGGTTACAGAGACTGTCTACCACACCCTGGCCTGTGACAGAGACTGTCTACCACACCCTGGCCTGTGACAGATACCGTCTACCACACCCTGGCCTGTTACAGAGACCGTCTACCACACCCTGGCCTGTTACAGAGACTGTCTACCACACCCTGGCCTGTTACAGAGACCGTCTACCACACCCTGGCCTGTTACAGAGACTGTCTACCACACCCTGGCCTGTTACAGAGACTGTCTACCACACCCTGGCCTGTGATAGAGACCGTCTACAACAGAGGCAGAGGAGAGGAGAGTGGAGAGGGGAGGCAGAGGAGAGGAGAGGAGAGGGGAGAGGAGAGGGGAGAGGAGAGGGAGAGGAGAGGCAGAGAGGAGAGGCAGAGGGGAGAGGAGAGGGAGAGGGGAGAGGAGAGGCAGAGAGGAGAGGGGAGAGCAGAGAGTGCCATACCAACTCCATCCCTCTCTCACCTCCTTCATCTCGACAGACTCAGCTCTGTCCTCTCGCTAATACTCCCATATTGTTATTCTGTTTCAGCTGTGCCATCGAGTGTTATTATCAGTCTCTTCTTTGTGTGTGTTGTTTCAGGTATGCCAGCCTGTATTTCTGCTGTGCCATCGAGGACCAGGACAACGAGCTGATCACACTAGAGATCATCCACAGATACGTGGAACTACTGGATAAGTACTTTGGCAGTGTACGTATCCATCTATTCCCTATTCCCTACTCCCTATTCCCTACTCCCTATTCCCTATTCCCTATTCCCTACTCCCTACTCCCCACTCCCTATTCCCCACTCCCTATTCCCTACTCCCTACTCCCTACTCCCCATTCCCTACTCCCTACTCCCTACTCCCTATTCCCTATTCCCTAATCCCTACTCCCTATTCCCCACTCCCTATTCCCTACTCCCTACTCCACACTCCCTATTCCCTATTCCCTGATTCCCTATTCCCCACTTCCCTATTCCCCTTACTCCCCCACTCCCTAGTCCCAATTCCCCACTCCCTATTCCCCATCCCTATTCCCTAATTCCCCCACGTCCCCTATCCTACCCCCCCCTACTCCCCACTCCCTATTCCCACTTCCCTATTCCCACTCCCTACCCCTCCCCACTCCCTTCCCTACTCCCCACTCCCTATTCCCTATTCCCTACTGCCCCACTCCCCATTCCCTACTCCCTACTCCCTACTCCCCACTCCCTGTTCCCTACTCCCCACTCCCTACTCCCTATTCCCTATTCCCTACTCCCCACTCCCTATTCCTATTCCCTACTCCCTACTTCCCCACTCCCTGTTCCCTACTCCCCACTCCCTATTCCCTATTCCACTACTCCCCACCTCCCTGTTCCCTACTCCCCATCCTATTCCCCACTCCCTGTCCCTAATCCCCACTCCCCATTCCCCATTCCCCCATGCCCTACGCCCCACTCCCAGTCCCAACTCCCATTCCCGATTCCCCACTCCCCAGCCTACTCCCCACTGGCCTATTCCCCACCTCCCTATTCCCTACGTCCCCACCCCTAATCCCTACTTCCGATTCCCTACTCCTGATCCCTATTCCTATTCCCTAATCCTACTCCCTATTTCCCCACTCCCTATTCCATACTCCCCACTCCCTATTCCCTACTCCCTACTTCCTATTCCCCACTCCCTATTCCCTACTCCCCACTCCCTATTCCCTACTCCCCACTCCCTATTCCCTATCCCCACTCCCTATTCCCTAATCCCCACTCCCTATTCCCTATTCCCCACTCCCTATTCCCTACTCCCTACTCCCCACTCCCTGTTCCCTACTCCCCACTCCCTATTCCCTATTCCCCACTCCCTATTCCCCACTCCCTATTCCCCACTCCCCTGTTCCCTAATCCCCACTCCCTACTCCCTACTCCCTACTCCCCACTCCCTATTCCCTATTCCCTACTCCCCACTCCCTATTCCCTATTCCCTACTCCCTATTCCCTATTCCCTACTCCCCACTCCCTATTCCCCACTCCCTGTTCCCTACTCCCCACTCCCTATTCCCTACTCCCTACTCCCCACTCCCTGTTCCCTACTCCCCACTCCCTATTCCCTACTCCCTACTCCCCACTCCCCTATTCCCTACTCCCCACTCCCTGTTCCCTACTCCCCACTCCCTATTCCCCACTCCCTGTTCCCTAATCCCCACTCCCTATTCCCCACTCCCCATTCCCTACTCCCCACTCCCTATTCCCCACTCCCCATTCCCTATTCCCCACTCCCCATTCCCTACTCCCCACTTCCTATTCCCCACTCCCTATTCCCTACTCCCCACTCCCTAATCCCTACTTCCTATTCCCTACTCCTTATTCCCTATTCCCTATTCCCTAATCCCTACTCCCTATTCCCCACTCCCTATTCCCCTACTTCCTATTCCCCACTCCCTATTCCCTACTCCCTACTCCCTACTCCCTACTCCCCACTCCCTATTCCCTATTCCCTACTCCCCACTCCCTATTCCCTACTCCCCACTCCCTATTCCCTATTCCCTACTCCCCACTCCCTATTCCCTATTCCCTACTCCCTATTCCCTATTCCCTATTCCCCACTCCCTACTTCCTATTCCCCACTCCCTATTCCCTACTCCCCACTCCCTATTCCCTACTCCCCACTCCCTATTCCCTATTCCCCACTCCCTATTCCCTAATCCCCACTCCCTATTCCCTACTCCCCACTCCCTATTCCCTACTCCCCACTCCCTATTCCCTAATCCCCACTCCCTATTCCCTATTCCCCACTCCCTATTCCCTAATCCCTACTTCCTATTCCTGTGTTCTGACTGACGCCCTCCATTGTGCTAGCTTTGTTTCAGTTTAATTTTGGAAGGTCTACTTCATCCTGTGTGTGTGTGTGTGTGTGTGTGTGTGTGTGTGTGTGTGTCATTTTTTGGGGGTATCTGTACTTTACTTTACTATTTATATTTTTTATAACTTTTACTTCACTACATTCCTAAAGAAAATAATGTACTTTTTACTGACATTTACCATGACACCCAAAAGTACTCGTTACATTTTGAATGCAAATCAATTTATAACATTTTTGACAGGCGTTTTTCTGGTTTTTTGTTGTTGTTATTCTGTCTCTCACTGTTCAAATGAACCTACCATTAAAATGATAGTCTGATCATGTCTTTGTCAGTGGGCAAACATACAAAATCAGCAGGGGATCAAATACTTTTTCCCCTCACTGTAGCAGGACAGGAAAATTGTCAAATTATCGCACTTATCATGAGAACATCCTTGGTCATCCTTGGTCATCCCTACTGCCTCTCAGTGGTGTCATGGATGCCAAGGGAAGGCAGGCTTCCTAAAACATTTACCAATATTTTTTAAATATATATATACACAAAAAGTATCTTTCGTCTCTCTGTGTGTCATAATTTTCCTTCAATTCGCAAGAGGCTGAATGTATCTCATTGGAGAAAGCATCCGAGTGAGCGAAACAGCGCCCCCCTGTGTCTGGATGTTTAGGCCGTCTATCTGAGGCTGTCTGGTCCAAACAGCGCCCCCCTGTGTCTGGATGTTTAGGCCATCTATCTGAGGCTGTCTGGTCCAAACAGCGCCCCCCTGTGTCTGGATGTTTAGGCCATCTATCTGAGGCTGTCTGGTCCAAACAGCGCCCCCCTGTGTCTGGATGTTTAGGCCGTCTATCTGAGGCTGTCTGGTCCAAACAGCGCCCCCCTGTGTCTGGATGTTTAGGCCGTCTATCTGAGGCTGTCTGGTCCAAACAGCGCCCCCCCTGTGTCTGGATGTTTAGGCCGTCTATCTGAGGCTGTCTGGTCCAAACAGCGCCCCCCTGTGTCTGGATGTTTAGGCCGTCTATCTGAGGCTGTCTGGTCCAAACAGCGCCCCCCCTGTGTCTGGATGTTTAGGCCGTCTATCTGAGGCTGTCTGGTCCAAACAGCGCCCCCCTGTGTCTGGATGTTTAGGCCGTCTATCTGAGGCTGTCTGGTCATAAAGAGCATGACGTTGTTGTTTCCCGTAGCATTGAATGCTAGGGAAGCCAGCGAGCATGGATGGAGATGGGGATTTGCACTTGTGGTTTTACTTAATTCTCCGTACTAGCCAAAGATTATAACGGCGATTCTGATCCAACCATTAATTCATACATTGTTGTGCCCCTGGCCTGATAGGATGGAAGTTCAATATGTAGCTAGATGTAGAAGGCTAATGCTAACTAGCTAACGTTGCCCATGAATGGAAGTTATGCTAGCTAGCATTCTAGCCACGTAGCCTAGGACAACAACAAATAAAAGCGTGTACTGAGTCATAGACCATTTTGTCAACATTGGTGTTACTCTACAAGGAGGGTGAGTCATTGGCGTTACTCTACAAGGAGGGTGAGTCATTGGCGTTACTCTACAAGGAGGGTGAGTCATTGGCGTTACTCTACAAGTAGGGTGAGTCATTGGCGTTACTCTACAAGGAGGGTGAGTCATTGGCGTTACTCTACAAGTGAATCAACATGTTTTTTCTACTTGCACACACACATTTTTTCATTTGAGTCATTTGGCTCTTATCCAGAGCCACTTGCAGGAGTGAGTGCATACATTTTCGTATTGGTCCCCCGTGGGAATCAAACCCACAACCCTGGTGTTGCAAGCGCCATGCTCTACCAACCGAGCCACACGGGACCACACACATACAGAGAAATCAGAACCACGGACAGCCACATCATATTTAGTTTACGTTGATTGGACTAAATGGTTTTTGGTATATTTTAGTTGTTCTGGAATAGTGGAGGCAGCTCCTGTTTTCTTTGCGACTTGTGGTAACTCTCCGTGGTAACTCTCCGTGGTAACTCTCCGTGGTAACTCTCCGTGGTAACTCTCCGTGGTTCTAAAGCAGTAGCTGTTTAGTAGTCTGAAAATGTCGGAAACATTAAGTTGCTTGGCCATGCTGTCATTTTCTATTAAGGTATCTTTGACAAATAGGTACTTTTTCCACCACTGTGTGTGTGTGTGTGTGTGTGTGTGTGTGTGTGTGTGTGTGTTACAGGTGTGTGAGCTGGACATCATATTTAACTTTGAGAAGGCCTACTTCATCCTGGATGAGTTCTTGCTGGGAGGAGAGGCTCAGGAGACGTCCAAGAAGATTGTACTAAAGGCAATAGAACAAGCTGACCTACTGCAGGAGGTAAAATACCTCACTGAGCCCAAGACAGGGACCTCTCTAATCTAAGACAACCCAGACATCTCTCTCTCTCTCTCTCACACTCGCTCACTCCTGCCTCTTTCCTGTGCTATGATTGACAGAATCTAGACTTTCAGATCCGTCTCTTCCCAGGTACAGTCCATTAACCCTGCAGGAGCCAGACCCATTGTACAAACCTTTCAGCGTCAGCCCCTTAGCTGTAGCTAAGCAGCGCAAAACAACCACATACCAGCAACAGCAATGTTAACATTTTACAATATTGATCTTTATTTCAAAAGTGTTATATTGTTACTTGTATGTGGATTTACTCATGTTGACATCCTGTAAAAGTCATCCATTTAATCCAGTAGAACCCTAGAGAACCCTAGATTCTAAGTAGGAAATGACCACTAGCAGTGTTCCATGCTACCAACAGGGAGCTAAAGAGCAGAACTATAGTCTGTAAAGGATGTTCTCTTCGCAGCTCACAGTGTCACATCACATCTAACAGCACACTGAAGAAATGCTCCTCTCTGCATCCTGTCACTCCAGTATTAATGACATACAGTTGAAGTTGGAAGTTACATACGCTTAGGTTGGAGTCATTAAAACTCGTTTTTCAACTACTCCACACATTTCTTGTTAACAAACTATAGTTTTGGCAAGTCGGTTAGGACATCTACTTTGTGCATGACACAAGTCATTTTTCCAACAATTGTTTACAGACAAATTATTTCATTTATAATTCACTGTATCATAATTCCAGTGGGTCAGAAGTTTACATACACTAAGTTGACTGTGCCTTTAAACAGCTTGGAAAATTCCAGAAAATGATGTCATGGCTTTAGAAGCTTCTGATAGGCTAATTGACATCATTTGAGTCAATTGGAGGTGTACCTGTGGATGTATTTCAAGGCCTACCTTCAAACTCAGTGCCTCTTTGCTTGACATCATGGGAAAATCAAAAGAAATCAGCCAAGACCTCCACAAATGAGCCAAAATTGTAGACCTCCACAAGTCTGGTTCATCCTTGGGAGCAATTTCTAAACGCCTGAAGGTACCACGTTCATCTGTACAAACAATAGTACGCAAGTATAAACACCATGGGACCATGCAGCCATCATACCACTCAGGAAGGAGACGCGTTCTGTCTCCTAGAGATGAACATACTTTGGTGTGAAAAGTGCAAATAAATCCCAGAACAACAGCAAAGGACCTTGTGAAGATGCTGGAGGAAACAGGTACAAAAGTATCTATATCCACAGTAAAACGAGTCCTATATCAACATAACCTGAAAGGCCGCTCAGCAAGGAAGAAGCCACTGCTCCAAAACCGCCATAAAAAGCCAGACTACGGTTTGCAACTGCACATGGGGACAAAGATCGTACTTTTTGGAGAAATGTCCTCTGGTCTGATGAAACAAAAATAGAACTGTTTGGTCATAATGACCATCGTTATGTTTGGAGGAAAAAGGGAAATGCTTGCAAGCCGAAGAACACCATCCCAACCGTGAAGCACGGGGGTGGCAGTATCATGCTGTGGGGGTGCTTTGCTGCAGGAGGGACTGGTGCACTTCACAAAATAGATGGCATCATGAGGAAGGAAAATTATGTGGATATATTGAAGCAACATCTCAAGACATCAGTCAGGAAGTTAAAGCTTGGTCGCAAATGGGTCTTCCAAATGGACAATGACCCCAAGCATACTTCCAAAGTTGTGGCAAAATGGCTTAAGGACAACAAAGTCAATGTATTGGAGTGGCCATCACAAAGCCCTGACCTCAATCCTTTAGAAAATGTGTGGGCAGAACTGAAAAAGCGTGTGCAAGCAAGGAGGCCTACAAACCTGACTCAGTTACACCAGCTCTGTCAGGAGGAATGGGCCAAAATTCACCCAATTTATTGTGGGAAGCTTGTGGAAGGCTACCCAAAACGTTTGACCCAAGTTAAACAATTTAAAGGCAATGCTACCAAACACTAATTGAGTGTATGTAAACTTCTTACACACTGGGAATGTGATGAAAGAAATAAAAGCTGAAATAAATAATTCTCTTTACTATTATTCTGACATTTCACATTCTTAAAATAAAGTGGTGATCCTAACTGACCTAAGACAGGGAATTTTTACTAGGATTAAATGTCAGGAATAGTGAAAAACTGAGTTTAAATGTATTTGGCTAAGGTGTAAACTGAGTTTAAATGTATTTGGCTAAGGTGTATGTAAACTGAGTTGAAATGTATTTGGCGAAGGTGTATGTAAACTGAGTTGAAATGTATTTGGTGAAGGTGTAAACTGAGTTGAAATGTATTTGGCGAAGGTGTATGTAAACTGAGTTGAAATGTATTTGGCGAAGGTGTAAACTGAGTTTAAATGTATTTGGCTAAGGTGTAAACTGAGTTGAAATGTATTTGGCGAAGGTGTAAACTGAGTTTAAATGTATTTGGCTAAGGTGTAAACTGAGTTTAAATGTATTTGGCGAAGGTGTAAACTGAGTTGTAAACTTCCGACTTCACCTGTATATTCCTCTCACTGTAGCAGCTACTCTGCAGTCTGATTAAGAGATAGATTATTATTATAGCAGAGTAGAGTAGGATCGAAAAGCGGTTTGATTTCAGAACAGCCGTACTTCTAAGATAGATTATTATATTATGAGCAGAGTAGTAGTAGGATCGAAAAGCTGTTTGATTTCAGAACAGCCGTACTTCTAAGATAGATTATTATATTATAGCAGAGGAGAGTAGGGATCGAAAAGCTGTTTGATTCAGAACAGCCGTACTCTAAGATAGATTATTATTATTATAGCAGAGTAGAGTAGGATCGAAAAGCTGTTTGATTCAGAAACAGCCGTACTTCTATAGAATAGTTATATTATTATGCAGAGTAGAGTAGGATCGAAAAGCTGTTTGATTCAGAACAGCCCGTATTCTAAGATAGATTATATTATGTATGCGCAGAGAGTAGGATCGAAAAGCGGTTTGATTCAGAACAGCCGTACTTCTAAGATAGATTATTATTATTATAGCAGAGTAGAGTAGGATCGAAAAGCTGTTTGATTTCAGAACAGCCGTACTTCTAAGATAGATTATTATTATTATAGCAGAGTAGAGTAGGATCGAAAAGCTGTTTGATTTCAGAACAGCCGTACTTCTAAGATAGATTATTATTATTATAGCAGAGTAGAGTAGGATCGAAAAGCTGTTTGATTTCAGAACAGCCGTACTTCTAAGATAGATTATTATTATTATAGCAGAGTAGAGTAGGATCGAAAAGCTGTTTGATTTCAGAACAGCCGTACTTCTAAGATAGATATTAGATATAGCCGAGTAGGGTAGGATTCGAAAAGTGTTGTTCGGAAAGTACTTCTAAGATAGATTATTATTATTATAGCAGAGTAGAGTAGGATCGAAAAGCTGTTTGATTTCAGAACAGCCGTACTTCTAAGATAGATTATTATTATTATAGCAGAAGTAGAGTAGATCGAAAAGCTGTTTGATTTCAGAACAGCCGTACTTCTAAGATAGATATTATTATTATAGCAGAGTAGAGTAGATCGAAAAGCCTGTTTGATCTAGAACAGCCGTACTTCTAAAGATCAGATTATTATTCATTATAGCCAGAGTAGAGTGGATCGAAAAGCTGTTTGATTTCAGAACAGCCGTACTTCTAAGATAGATTATTATTATATTATAGCAGAGTAGAGTAGGATCGAAAAGCTGTTTGATTTCAGAACAGCCGTACTTTCTAAGATAGATTATTATATTATAGCAGAGTAGAGTAGGATCGAAAAGCTGTTTGATTTCAGAACAGCCGTACTTCTAAGATAGATATTATTATTATAGCAGAGTAGAGTAGGATCGAAAAGCTGTTTGATTTCAGAACAGCCGTACTTCTAAGATAGATTATTATTATTATAGCAGAGTAGAGTAGGATCGAAAAGCTGTTTGATTTCAGAACAGCCGTACTTCTAAGATAGATTATTATTATTATAGCCAGAGTAGAGTAGGATCGAAAAGCTGTTTGATTTCAGAACAGCCGTACTTCTAAGATAGATTATTATTATTATAGCAGAGTAGAGTAGGATCGAAAAGCTGTTTGATTTCAGAACAGCCGTACTTCTAAGATAGATTATTATTATTATAGCAGAGTAGAGTAGGATCGAAAAGCTGTTTGATTTCAGAACAGCCGTACTTCTAAGATAGATTATTATTATTATAGCAGAGTAGAGTAGGATCGAAAAGCTGTTTGATTTCAGAACAGCCGTACTTCTAAGATAGATTATTATTATTATAGCCAGAGTAGAGTAGGATCGAAAAGCTGTTTGATTTCAGAACAGCCGTACTTCTAAGATAGATATTATTATTATAGCAGAGTAGAGTAGGATCGAAAAGCTGTTTGATTTCAGAACAGCCGTACTTCTAAGATAGATTATTATTATTATAGCAGAGTAGAGTAGGATCGAAAAGCTGTTTGATTTCAGAACAGCCGTACTTCTAAGATAGATTATTATTATAGCAGAGTAGAGTAGGATCGAAAAGCTGTTTGATTTCAGAACAGCCGTACTTCTAAGATGATTATTATTATTATAGCAGAGTAGAGTAGGATCGAAAGCTGTTTGATTTCAGACAGCCGTACTTCTAAGATAGATTATTATTATTATAGCAGAGTAGAGTAGGATCGAAAAGCTGTTTGATTTCAGAACAGCCGTACTTCTAAGATAGATTATTATTTAGCAGAGTAGAGTAGGATCGAAAAAGCTGTTTGATTTCAGAACAGCCGTACTTTCTAAGATAGATTATTATTATAGCAGAGTAGAGTAGGATCGAAAAGCTGTTTGATTTCAGAACAGCCGTACTGCTACTTCTTACAGCCGTCCCTTTGCCTCAGCCCTGAGGCAGATCTCTTAATATTACAACATTCCACCAGCTCTTAGAAGATTTTGGTTTAAAACAGGGATCTGGGCCAGACAGGCAGACCTGTAGCCCAGAGACAAAGTCTCATTGTGTGTAGAGACCAGGCTACAGAGAGCAGAGAGAGACTAGAGAGAG